AAGGGACTTAAAACGGTCGGGCGGCTGCTGTTCAATTGCCGATCGGCGAACCCACCTGTTGACGGCCACGGCGACGGCGCGCGGCCACGCCGACCCTCGACCGCCGACGTTTATTTGCTCGAAAACGAGCCTTTCCGATATAAATATATACCCGCGCCGGTAAATATATCGTTTAACCGAAAAGTTAACCCGGACGTCGCGACGCCCGGTCACGGTGCGGGCCTGCGGGACGTTTCGCCGCAGCCGATTAAAATGCGAAAACGATCGCATTGCACGGTTGTTAATCAATTAGCGGTGAACGAGGGCAGGTACACCGTAAAACGATAAATGCGCAAAAGTTCGGTGTACATTATTATCACCTGCGTCACGTAGCGTCGTGTTAACGACCGCGGGGGTTCGAAAGAGAGACACCGGAATGAAACAACGAAACGCCCGCGAGCGTTCGCAGGGCTGCGTCGCCTAATAGAGAGCCGGCATTTTCGCACGGCCGGTTCGTCGCGTCGAAATTTAATTTTTTTTTTTTTTTTTTTCATGACGGTCAATTGCGGTGTTGAGCGTCAAAACGGCCGGGTAGGGCGTCGAAACATCCCAGAGACGCGTACGCGACGAATACACGGAAATGCGTGCCCCCAGCTTCGTTGTGGGGGAAAAGAACCGCGAGAGGGAGTACAATGCTAAAAACAAAAAAAAATACTCACATTTTGTCCGCGATAACGCGGTAAAATTCGTATTGAAATTTGACCGAAACGTTATCGCTTCGACTGGCTTATAAAACCAACTCGTATTTCCGAGTTTTTGCTTATTTGGTCCACGCAGAGCGGCTATAAAAGTGCCGTCCAAAAGTGTCGGGATAAAAGACACATCGCATCTGTTTTCAGAGGAAACCCGTCAATTATAAGTCTTGGGCAATAGCGCCGAGAAGGCTTTTTTTTTGGAATCCCGGGATTCAAGTCAGTGGATGGGCGGACAGGTGTGTGGGTATTAATGTGGGATAATGGTACGGAATAGGAGTGTAGAACTCAGTAGTGGAATATATAGACGAGTAGATATGTTTTCAAACTATAGATTAAATAATTAACAATATTTTAGTGTTATAAAAATTAAAATATTAACGTTTTCATTGTCGTTGAATATCAATTTCGTAATTTTTTTTTTCATATCGAATGAACGAAACAAAATCGGTAACGTTCATTTAGTAATTGAACACGTTCAAATGTCATTTAATTGAACATCACGTGCCGTTTTCGGAATATTGAACGCGTTCTTTCCTGCAAACACTAAATGAATTCGCACGCGAAATCGGACGGGGGGAAACGATCAAAGAGTATAATAATTAATAATTATTATTATTATTATACGGGTATTCCTAAGCCCGCGTAATCATCTTGTCAAAATTCGCGTGAGTCTGGCGGTGAAACGTATTTACTAATATTATTATATAGGTAGGTATAATTCGATGAATGACACTCGTTCGAAAAATGATAAGAACCGTTTTCGGGAATCCGATCCGGTCGCATATTAGCATAAGTACTGCACGCAGGGCACACGAAGTAGAGTACTACCCGATGTCGTTTGATATAACAAATCAGGGTTTATTTTCGATTAATTTCCTCCATTCGCTTCGTCTGAAAGCTCCAGACAAAGCAATATTACAATTAAATAGGGATGGGTAATGACGAGCGAGTTAACTCTTTAAGTTTTTTGGGTGGACTGAGTGAAAAAAAAACAATTAGATAGCCGACTGCTATATAAAATAATGTTACTAACAAAATGGCCGTCAATCGTTATCTAAGATGTGAATCTTTACAAATTAAACTGATATGATGATAGTATGTGATAATGTACTATTTTGGAACTCTACTGCGCAGTGTACAATGTGCATAATATTTATAGGAAATGGGATATTATAACATCGTTCCTCATCAATACTGTAAAACATAAATATTCACCTTTTAGATAAGGACGGCAGCCATTTTTTTCGGCGACAGTAATAATACCAAAGTCGGCTATCTAGTTGTTTTATATATCTGCGGGTGTAGCTCAGTGACTCGGCGATTCAGTGTTACCGCGCTGGTTCAGTACGATTCGCGAATCACGGATGCGCGTTATCAGTCATCAGTTAGGTTACCAACCTAACCTAACCTAACGTTACTTGTACGTCCGGCAACCCGCTTATACCACAATATTAAATTCTATTAACGCGACGACAAATTATGTTTCGGCGGTAACTGAATAACGCGGATAACGAGATTGGTTTCATTTAACGATCCGGAATTCCGGGAATGGACTCGTTAGTGCGGGCCGATTCGTGGCGTCGAGCCGAAAGCCTCGCCCCTACGAAATTGACCGTAGCCCGCGGTCACGAATATCGCAAATTTAATAAATATACAGGCATAGAAATTATCGCGCTTTCCGCCCTGTCGTTATCGTTAATTGCCCGTGTCATTTACCTCGAGAGCCTGCCGCCCGGCATTGTTATCGCTGTTACTCGTATAGTTTATCGAACATCGGAAACGTTCGCGACGACGTTATCTCGTCGCGGTTGTTTTACCTTATGACATTCATACTGCGTACTTTGTCGATCGCCGACGAAAATAATAATAATACAGTAACGATACTATTATTATTATTATTGGTGCATCGACTGCGGGAGCCGCGGACGCCGTAATCGTATTGCGTTCGCGATGATAATAAACGCGCGGTCGCGGACGTATCCGAGAGAGAGAGAGAGAGAGAGTGCGAGAGAGAGAGACCGTATAAAAGATAACGCGCAGTTCCGCGGCGTATAATTTACGATTACGGCGTATATATTGTATAATAATACGAGACGTGCAGTACGGGTACCGCGGTTTTCACGATATTATTATTATTATTATAGATACCTACGCAATATACGCGCGCGTATATAATAATAATATAATATGTCGAGACGCGATCGGAAAATGATAAGTTTGCAAGTAGGGTCGGGGCGGCGGGGGCGGGTCCGTACCGAGCGCAATCAACACCCGCGGCAGTATTAACAAGACTTTGCGGCTACCCCGGGGGACCCGCGGCGCGATAAGAAGAAAACCCCGGGCCCGTTGATTAATAATAATAACTCGCGACGACGTCTCGTCCCCGCAGTAAAAGGGCACGCCGCCGCCGCCGCCGCCGCCGCGACTCGACCCGTACGCGCGTATTTACGCCGTGTAACGGCGGCGCGGGAATAACAATACCCGTCTACTCGATAAAGACGCGCCGGCCCGTGACAGCGGAGTAATGTGCACGCGGCCGTACGTGTCCGATGAAAATGGTCCGTCGATCGCGCCGTGCGCCGCCGGGGGCGACGGTCTTCAAATATTGTTGATCTACGGCACCCGGATACCGCATAAAACCGCGTAACGTTTTGTGTATCCGTGCTGTACGGGGGTTTGAGTTTTCGCGCCATTTGCAAAGTCAACGTACTCAATGTTTGTTTACTATTTATTTACAATGTCGTTACAAAAAAAAAAAAAAGCCGTTTTATTCGCGGCAGAAGTAAAACCGCTAAATCCGAAATCTGAAAACATCGCGGTCAAATACTGCCACGGGAGAACGGTCGTTTTCAACACTCCGTCGTTTGGAAACATATTTGAGAAATTCTTTGGAACAAATGCGTTTAAATGGTTTAGCCTTAATAAAATATATTCATCGCGACGCGGATTCCAATGATGTTATAGATTAACTTGCTAAAACATCAAAGGGAAAAATGAATTTTCATTTATAATATTTAAAAAACATAAATATTTCGACTTTTATATAATTAGCGCTGTACAATAGTAACAAAATGTTTAATGTATGATTATAATACACTGAACAATTCAAAACAGTTTCATTTGTTATATTTTTATTAATCCCCCCTCCCAAAAAAAAAAAAAAAAATTCTGGTTACGTCACTGGTTCTCATAATCGGGTTGTATAGCTAATAGGTAGGTGGCTACAATAGTAACGATATTAAGTTATTAATTTAATATTTTTATGAACCGGAACTCTGAAATTCTAATTTTAACCAACCGGTACGGACGTAAAAGCTTATAATTCAAGCATTGACATGAAGTATGTATAATTAACAATATATATATATATATACGTGTATATTAGTTAAAATAGTAGGTATTAGTTTCACTCACATTTTTAAATATTTTCATAATTTATTTATTTTTTAATATAATAGTCACAAAAATAACGAATAAAAAAATATTATAAAATTTAGTATTTTAGGGTATATTTAATAAAATTACTCACTCATTTGACTTAGAGCAATATCTACGCTGAATATTTTATTTATAATATAACATGTGGTATTAGTAATGTCATGCAGTATAAATTAAATTCTGTTTTCGTTTTGTTTTAATTGCAGAGATAAGGATTACAAATATTTAAATTTGAATTCAATTTTTTTATTTTGATAAAATAAAAATGTTTAAAAATACACAATTTATTTATTTTAGTATAGACTGACACACAAACTGATATTAAATTATTATCTGAATTATCTGGTTTCTTTAAAGCAAAATTTGCCAGTTCTATAGGTTATTCTACCTATTGTTATACTGTAAATCCTTAGTTGAAGGCATTTTACCCTCCATTTGGAGCTCAGTTACACTAATATTTAAAAAAGGTGACAAAAATAACATTAAAAACTGCTAACTTATATCTAATCTAATGCAACTTGGTAAACTTTTTGAAAAGCTAGTCTTAAATAATATAATGCCGTCACTTAACAATGTTTTCGATCATAGACAACTCGGTTTCAGACCGGGAAAATCAACATTCACCTGCAATTTATCATTTATAAATTACATTTATGATGCCTTTAAATATAACTGTCAGGTCGATGTCATTTACACAGACTTTGAAAAGGCTTTTGATTTATGCAGCACGTCGTCTAGGCATTGGTGACCCTCTACTGTCATGGTTACACTCTTACCTAACCGATTGTCAACAACTAATATCCAAGATTTTGGATCAAACACACATACCTTTCCCTCTGGCATTCCTCGAGGCAGTCATTTTCACCCCTCTTATTTTCAATTCTCATTAATGATACTTCATCAGTTCTTAATAACAGTAAATTCCTATTATTTGTCGGTGATTTAAAATTATTAACAGGATTTTCTTTAATCGATGATTGTAACATTTTACAAAACGAACTTGATCTTGCGGTTAACCGGTGTTAACACTTATACATATCTAAGTGTTACTCGATGAATTTTTATAGAATACGCAACCCAGTCACATTTAATTCTATCAATAAAATGTAATCGAATCTTTTTTATCTGTTAAAGATCTTTGTATACATTTTTAAAATGATTTATGTTTTCGTGAACACATTGAGTGTATTATGAAGAAACCTTCAAAAACATTAGTTTTATTAAACGTCACTCTTCTGAGTTTTCAGATCCTAGATCTCTTAAAGCCCTTGACACGGCTTTTGTTAGGTCTATTTTGGTATACGATTCTATTATTTGGAGCTTACATATGAAATTAGAAATTGATTCAATCGAAAGTCCAAAACCGTTTCCTCAAATACTTATCTTTTAAAATAAATTTTCAGTTGTAATCTCACAAGTACGAACCTATTCGTTTACATTCTAATTTGCCTACACTGGTATCTAGACAGGAAGTGGCAGATATAACTTTATTAATGGCCATATAAATTCTCCTTATTTACTTGAACACATGTACTTTAATGTTCCCTGACACCATATCAGATACCTCACTCTTTTCTATACCTCATCTCATAATACCAACTTCGCTAAAAATGCACCTATTACCAGAGCAATGTCATTATGTAACAAATACCCCAACTTTGATTTTTTTCTTGATGAAGTATCTAAAATGACTAAATCTCATGTAAATTTTTGTACTTGATATTTATTATATTTTATATTATTATTACATTATTCATAATTTTGCATTATATCAATATCAGTATTGTATTTAATTACTTATAATTGTATATATTGCCTACTATTTTATAATAATGTATTATTTTGTTTCAATTGGGTTCACGCCCCTTTTTATTTCAATCAATAACTTACTATTATTATTTAGAATAATTAAAAATTGGTATTAGATATTATTTTTAGTTTTTTCTTATTATTTTTAAGTGAACTGCTAATGCTTTTAGTCTCACAAGAGAGCCGCTCACAATTTATTCGATACAAATAATATCGAAAACGATTAACCGTAGCTCCTAAATAAAAAAAAATATTGAGGAAAAACAATATTTGAAACCATAGATGTATTAGCTCATAAAGATGAATTAAGAAAAAATGGTAGAAAAAAAAATTAAATTTTGATAAAAAAAAAAACTATTTATACAATTTGAGGGCTTTGATGCACGGATTAGACTTCACAAATTTACTTCAAATTATATAAATGTTATTTTTATGTATATTGGAACTAATTTAGAAAGAAATAAAGGAAAAATCTCAATATCGAAAAAAAATTACTATAAATAGCAAATTTAAAACTCAAAAAATATCATGATAAATGTACAGAACACTGTATAGTGTATATTATGTTTATCTATGACATACATATTATGTGATTCTAATAGTTTTCCTAAAAATAAATACACACATTTCAAATACATTTCTAAAGTTAATTTTGGCTAAATGTAGATATACATTTTAATTAATTTACTCTAACAAAAATAAACAAACAAATGCATATATGAAACATTAAAACAGTAAAAATACATATATTAACGAGGACTTTTCTAAAAAGTAAGAACTTATAAACCTTCCAGTAAACATTATAATACTTTTTCTTAAATATCAGAATTGTGGGCTATATTATAAATCATTAATATAATAGATAAGCACAGACTATATTCCTATGTTTTTTCAAATTTCTTTCGTAAGTATAAATAACATTAGTGAAAAGTTATCTAACAATTAACTTATATTATAATGTCCTTAAGTGTACACCCTTATGAATTCTATATTATCAAATGTTTCCAGTGTTACTAGTATTCTAATATTTTTACAAATTGATAGTAAATGAGTTGATATTTAGTTATTTTCATATTGAGCACAGGTTTCTAAACCTTACAAAAAAAATGTCAAGAAACAATAGCTTCTAAAAACCGCATTAATTTCTCCACTGCACCTAGGAACGTTTACAATAGTAAAATACAAAACAACATTTTGCTTTAATGTATATTATTTTTCTTAAATGTTACATCCTCCGGGCTTTTGTCTAGTAAGTATTCTTGCATGTACAGCCAACAAAGATTTTTGTTTAAATAATTGTTTACAAATTTATATAGTAAAACCTGTACAATATGGAATGACAACATTTAAGACTAAATCGATTTTATCTGTTGTATTAATAATTAGAAACTATGAAGAAAAAATTTAAAAATGCTCACCGTAGAGGGAAATTTTCATTGTCAATTTTTCTACCAATATGCACTCCCATATGGCATTTTAACATTGATTTAATGCATACATGTATGTAAAAAAAGAATTATGACTCATATTAGTTTGCCAATTATTTTCGTTGTTTTTTTTTAAATTTTCAATGACAAATTAATTCAAAGTCTAAACTGGGAGTATGGGGAGTCCATAAATGTAGGAATTAGTTGAAAAAAATTGTGTAGCTTTTTTTTTCTTGTGAACAATTTTTCTACCAGCAATTATGCTCCGATTTACAATGATAACACTTTTTTTAAAAGAAAATTTTTCTGTGGAAGGCTGCGAAATCCGAGAAAAACCATAGGAAAACCTAGGAAAGACGGAAAAATAGGTACAATATTGAACAAATATTTTTAAAGAAAATATATATTGCCTTTTTTTTTATTATAATATGGCATATACGGAGTGATCAATCTATCGCAAGACATTTATTATTTCAGAAAATATTAACTTTTTTCAGAAATTATTTTAAAAAACATTTAAGAAACTAATTATTCTGAAATTTAACATTTACATTTTTGTTACCAAAATGTTTGGGGCTGAAACGACTACAACTTTTGATTTTCATACGGCAACCTATATTAAAAATTCCATAAATAGACGGGGTAGTAGTTAAAATAAATTTCCGTAATGTAATTTCCGTCAGTTCGTTGACGAGATATTCCACTTTTAAGTTTGGGTCGGGGAAGAGTAGTGGAGCATCATTTGTGTAGCGGTACAGTGTGTTTTAATAATGTACTACTACATTGTCATTTAAAAACTAAAAAAAGATAGTCGTTTCACTCCCAAAAATTAAGGTGACAAAAAATAACATAAATGTAAAATTGCAATGCTGCTCGTTTCTAAAATTTTCTATAAAACGAATGTCGAATAAAGTTATTACTTTACGAGATAATGAATGTCTTATGATAGATTGATCACTCTATATTGTTGATAAAGCAACTTCATTCAAGAATTACGATCAGAATCGATTTTTGTTAACAATGATTTATCTTTGCTCCAAGATAAACATTGAATTTCTCCTTTACTACCGTCCTTATCTCTCATCAACAACAGTAGCCCGGTTTTTTAAAAGCGTTTTGACGTGTGTGCCAGACAAGTGCACAGAGAAAAATGTTGAGACTAAGTAAAAACACTAAACATTTTAAATTATAGAACTTGAATATGATGCGTTTTTAACATTTCGGTGGGCTATATATTTGCTTGGGAAGAGCTGTAGACACGTAGCCCCCTCTCCTAGGTTGGTACGTGGGTTATTTTCGATATTTCAGTGTGCAAATCAATAACGCCACGAATCGATAACAATATATGCAACATATGCAATATGTGATCACTAAAAGTGATTGTTGAAATACTAACCAACAACAGTACAAGAACGAAAAATGATTGGTTTAACATTTCTCGTTATTTTCCCTCGGATAGAAATAATATTATCCAGATGCGCAGACGTATTTAGGGGGAGCACGCGGTATAACAGCAGTGCAGCAGTTCTTTGTTGCGGTAATTCATAAGGTCAGTAGAGTGGCAAAACATCTTAATCAATGTTCCGAGAGCTATAATAGAGGGTGAAGTCTCGCGGTCAATTAACTTTAGTAAATATTCCTTTAAAGCCGTTTAAAGAATTGTTTGTTTTCTTTTTTACGAGTACCGACAATATTTTTAACGGCTAAGAAATTCGAAAAAAAAAAAAAAATTATTCGCATGTGCATTGATGTCGATGACAATTGTTGTCCGGTATTTAATTGTTTAAAAATAGTATTTCCTTGCTAGTGGCAACTGAATCAACTTTATAACTGGTTTTGTATTATTAACTTGTTATTATTCTATTTAAAGGCACCGCAAGAGTATAATCTGTTTTGTTGAAAAGGATTATAAAACATTTTTGCAAATTTAGGTTGACAATAAGAGAAATTAAAAATTCAAAAACTAAGTAATTCGGTACAGTTAATATGACAATTTACTATTTTTTTTACTTTTATATACTTTAAACCTACGATTTTTCTCCTATTAGATATACTGATCATATTTAATTAGTTTAATAAAAATTTATATTAAGAATGAAGTTTTCGAAGGATACTACATTTATGTAAGCAAAGGGATCTATTTTGAATAGCTTCAATGCTTTTATACGACAGTATAGAGCGCACAAGTTAAAATTATACAGTTTTCAAGACATTAACGTTTGTAAAATCTTTGTAATCTCAATTAACGAATCCTAAGGTGGATTTTTTTTCCAAATACCCAGAGGCTTTATTATTTTAACGACCTAAAAGTTTTTGTAAATGTGTTTGACAAGATATATCTTACATATTTGATGTTAATATATATATATATATACTTTACACGTTGATAAAGTCACACTTCCAATGAAGTGGCTCCTACCCTTAATTTACATTCTTAAACTAAGTCGTATGGTTTCAGACGCTTAAGTCGTCTAATGTCTTTGGAGATGTTTGATAATTTGATGGCCAGTGGATTGACACGATCACCTAATCTTGTCTCGTGTTTGTGAGTAAACTTTTGGATTCGCGGTGAATGGTATCGTTTCTTTCAAGCCGGTAGGCTGCAAAAAACTTTTTGTTCTTTTTTAAAAACTGTAAATTTTTTAATATTTGATAATTCAAAAAACGCCTATGCATTCCTTCCGAAACATAGTTTTCTATACATTTCATAATAGGTACTTTTACTCTAAAATCAAAATCAAGCTAATTTT